ATAAGTTATAAGCAAAATAAAAGCACACGAAATTTTACCATATCTTAACATATTTGCGGTGACTCCAAAAACATCAAACTAAAATATACTATCGAACTGTCAGTTACGGATAAATGGAATGCTTAGACTTTGTTGGAAAATTATATAATAAAATTAAGCGAAATGCAAATAAAGTACAAAAGCTGTACTTGATGCTTGAAAATCGAGATTGTAATAAATCAATCAGTATGATTTTCATATGAATAAAATATTCATCGAACACGTCAAAAAAGATAAGAAAATTCGCCAGCAGTTGTTGGAATGCGTTCGTCTATTCGAATGACCGCTTTTAATGTCTTCAGCAAATGAACGTATATTTTTTATTGTCCGGCTGTAACAAATGGATTAAGTCAATGGGCCAAACGAACAGCGAACAATTTGTTGGCAACTATACAAGATGTCAAACCTTTTCAAGCGACGATATGACGATTTTTCAACACTTTTGACACATTCTGAGTTCCATCACTTGGCAGGATCCAGACGTTGAACACTTGAAATAGTTATATTTCGAACATAATCTCGAAATAATTTCCACGGTGATGTGAATTATTTCAACAGATTGAAATTTTCTTCCTAAAATATGGAAAATTGAAAATTCTATAAATCTTAGAATCGACCTCTGCCAGGACTCTCCAAGTAAATGACGGAAAGGATTCGAAAACACTTCAACGCATTCAACTGAACAGTGAATAATTATTTCGCTCTTATTGCAAAAGAAACGAATTTCGGTACACACAAGTATTAACTTCTTTTCAAATGCCATAAATTGAATACACTAACATTTCAAACATGGTTCGATATTTGCGTTTTTGTAAAAGTTCTGATTTTATAAGTCACCATGATTTTTTATTCCTTTTTTTATGAACTCCATTACAGAACTTGATTATCTGTCTGTTTCAATTTTGAAAGTTTCGTTCATTGATTAAATTGATGTTCGAAGCACTGTTTTTATCGATAAATTAGCTCACATTTTAAACGCTTTAAGCGTTTGCTTGAATTTAGTAAATGATAACTTATTCTTCAATTCATTTTAATGAACTTTTCGGTCGTTTTCAGTAATATCATTTTATTACAAAAACTTCGAATCGAAACCTAATTGAGTGTCGAGTGTCAGTTGTCAAAGTTCATTTTGACTCGTGTAATCGATTTATCTATATACATGAATGTCGAATCGAATTTCAATTCATTTACACGTCAATCAAAGTCTACCTGATTTTTTTGCTCTGTTGCCCATTCTCTCTCGTTCGCTCCATATTTATTGGAAAATGTGTTTTAAATGTGACAATGGAACAAATGACATCGAATAAAAACTTATATTTATGCGGTCCCTCTTTCGCAGTTAGAATCGGATTTTAAATCATTTTACTTCGATACAATATTGCATACATTAATAATAACATAATCATCGATGTATCTTTTGATTTGTTTGTCCGATATTTTTCGTCCATATATATATTTAATGCATGAAGAGATGCATCACAGCACGCATACAGACTATCATCAACAGTTTCAAAATGAAGTGATTCAAGTGCTTGAACAAAATATGTGCACATTTGTGAATAATTGATGATCATGCGGGTAGTGAATAGTTTTGACAAACGACCACAACAATAATATCATACGATGCGAAATGCAATTGCAATTGCAATTGAATAAATTGTTTGTGTGATTTTGAAAGCAACATTCATTTGGATGGCAAATGGAACTTCAACTCAAATCGTCCGTCGTTCATTGCATATTTATATCGTCTTTAAGCGGGTTGTATGTAGTCACCATGCTTCGTTTGAATAGATTGCCGATTCAAATTTGTCGGATAAAATCAAAATGCCACGCGATTCACTTTGCATGGAAAGAACAGCGAGATGAAAGCGTTTTGGCGAGAATAAGCAAGCAGCTGTGATTCGCTCTTCGATTCGGTATCGGCAAGAGCTCAAGTCGAATAACGTAAGAAAATGAAATGAAAATGGAAAGAGGTTGATGCAATGAATCCATTTCGATTAAGCGGATTAAATGATGAGTGAACATTTGAAGTCAGAAAAATAAGCTGTATTTCTTGAAAAATGGATAATACTTTGAATAAAGACTTACGTCTCGTTGCACTGCCTTGTGATCCATGCCAGAGCATCTATCCTATCTTATGGTAGTCTGAACGAATTTTATTTATTTTTTCGAAAGCTTATTTAATTGAATCGAGAATTCAATAGGCGATACCGCTTGTGCATCTTACCAAAACCGAAATGTGGGAATAAAACGGAATACAAATATTATCAAAAATGCCGACATCTATATGACGGAAATTTACATTTCATAAGGCACTTCTTGTGAAAATGAAGAAGTTATTGGATGGAGATTGGTTGAAAATGGTAATTGAAACACCGAAAGTAACCGGCTGAAATATTCTCGGTCAGGCTCAGGCGGTCATTCGGTTGAGCGGTCCTTGGTCTGATGTTCAGGTCGGGACTCCATTGCAATTTCTGTTATCCAAAAAGTGTTTGATGTGATTAAGATCCAAATCGTGACTTAAAAAATTCAACGCAGATGGCGCACACTCGCAGTAATTGATATTCCAACGAATGTTTAAATGAATAAGAGAGTATGTACGATGGGGATCAATGAACATTTAACGGACTTATGTAAGTTAAAGCCACACGGCAGTTCGTTTGAATCGTAATTTCAAAAGGGCAGACGATATGGATCCAAACCAAAGAAGAAACCAAACTGACAGCTTACGAAAACATACGCCATTTACGTCGTTCGACATACCCCCTATCTCTTTAACTCATCTTTTTTGTCGATTTTTTCCCTTTTTCTTTCGCTTTTTTCGGTTGTCTAATGAGATATGCGGCAAACTTCTGAAAGGCAAAAAACTATTCAACCAATTGGTCGAACAATTTATAAGGTTGCCTCCACGATTTGCTTCAATTTTATTTACATTTCTTGTCATTTTTCATGCCGTCAAGTGGTAAAGCAAAAATCAAAGACAAGATCAAAAGTGTACACTGTTTGCTAAATGACGTCTCTCCATCCAATTCCATTTTCTTTCTATCTTTCAATAAAATAACAATTTTCAATTATATAGAATCGACGATAAAAGTTGTCGTCCACCTTGACATTTTATTGAAATTTCATTGGTGTGCTGTGTTCGAATTGCCATTCCATTTTATTCTTAGAAAACATAATTGCCGCTTTAAAAAATAAAAAAAAAAACTTACTCATTTTACAAACCAAAAATTTAAAGTGCCGTAAATGAAAGAAGAAAAAAAAATCGTTAACATTCTGGGAAAATATAAGAAATGCAGCGTTCATTCCAGATAAACTTCGTATTCAAACTTTATTCTTTAATTTTTCCCTTCTTCTTCTTCTTCTACAACAACTTCCACTTTTTCCGCCACTAAATGCAATTATCATTTGTGCTGTTGTGCACTTTTCAAATTGTGTTAGTGTGTGTGTGTGGCCTCTTTCTTTCAGTAGATGAGATGTTAAAACAAGTGGCCAAGAACACACACACACATACATTACATAGAGAGAAAAAACAGCGACCAAAACTCAACTCAAGTGGCATGCATCTTTGGAACATGATGAGAAACAGATAGAGAGAGAGAGAGAGAGAGAGAGAGAGAGAGAGAGAGAGAGAGAGGAAGCCCCATGTTGGGGCTCATTCTTCTGAAAATGGTTTTCTGCAAAACTTGAGATTCTCCTCTCGATCCCCGAACACCATGACCATGAAGCGAAAAATAAATGAATCACATGAATTGACCCTTTGTAACCAACCGCCGAACAAACGAAAGACGACAACGGTACAACAAATGAGATGGCAATCGCAGAGGGGACAAGATTGCACCAAACATTCGAATAATGAATAACAAGTGCTGTATATTTTTCGAGTGAAATTAAAGAAATAATAAATTCAAGTTGAGCATCTTCTTCAAAACTTCTTTGTGTCATCGCTCCATCTCTTCGTAGTAATTTCGTCTCTTTTGTTTCTCCTTTGTTTCTCTCTCACTCACTCATACATACTTTTTCATTACTTGTCTTACTTCAAGTGTGTGCCGGCAAGTGAGCGAGCGCACAAGCTAACAGATGGATGTAAGACAAACCAAATGTATGACATTAAAAGCGTTCAATTCGCATTTTGGCAAAACATTTTCAAATGAAGATTATTTTAACAAAAAACATTCATTACAATAATTGTATGTGTTTCATTCCATTTTTGGTTTTCGATGAGAGCAAAATACTTTCTCTTCAACCACAATTGAGTCGCGATGGGAATTGAAGACGGTGGTTCGTTGTTCACCGTCGCATGTTGAGGTATAAGCACAAAATTATTTTTATATGTATTTTCAAATCAAAATTGTGTACGCTTGCTGAGCTGCAAACGGGTAATATCAAGCGGTCGGTATTTGTATGAATTTGAAAAATTTATTTGCAATTTTCATCAAATTATATTCTAAAAGAAATGAGTTTAACCAAAAACGTTGCCATTTCGTTGCACGAAATCTAAATGGTCATAAAAATTGTATGCTTTTCTCTGCACCATGACCATACTTCTTCGAGTCAGTTACAATCGGCACAAAATTCCATTATGTGTTCGCATTTTGTTAAAATTTATTTTCGCGTTTGCGATTGCATGATGATCTTTTGTTCAAAACGTCTGTGACTTAATTCATTTTTAATAGTCTCCAATGATGTACTTCGTAATAATGATACTTATTATTATCATTTCTGGTTGATTCTTCATTTTATTCTTCTCCTTTCGACAATCGAGAACATGAACGGAAATGAAAGGCTTAGCATAAGTGTCTATTCACATTCAATTCAGAGTCTATCCAAATAAATGTGAATTTGAAAAGCATCTTCATCTTTTCATATCATATTATTCTTGTTCTTAATCTATAGAATAAGATATTTCATGCATGCAGGAACAAAAAAGACGTCAAGAAAAATGAAAGAATGTCACTTACCGGCGCCCAACGGAACATTTGATGGAACGGTTTTATTTTTGAGTTTGGCTTCAATTTTATCATCATCTTTGTTGTTGCCAATGACGGCAATTTGATTGCCAATCGTTGTGGTTTTGACGACATTTGGGCTGGCCGTGGTGAGTGTACAGGTGCCACTTCCACCGCTATTCGGATTGTTTCGAAACAGTAGAATTGATGGTGATTTATCGATGCGCTTTAGTGTTTGCAATAGAATTGGGCCATCGTTTGTGCCATTTTTATTCAATCGTTGTTGTAAAATGATTGAACCTTCTGGTATGGTTGCCGTTTGGCCAGTTGACGCAACTGATGTAATTGTTGTTGTTGCATTCGATGTGGTTACATTCTTTAAAGCTGGCGACGTCGTATGTAACTGAAGTGTGTTGCCTTTGATTCCATTTCCGCTCAATGAATTCGTATCAATGATTTGATTGGTGGTGATGTTGGCATTTTTCAATGCTGATTGCAGCACAAATTTACCCGTTTCGGTCGTTGTTTGTTTCGATGTAGCCACCGAATTGGCGAACGACGTTGTTTTTCGATGCAATAAAATCGATGGTGATGCTGTCGATGTATTGCATGTGGTTTTATCATCATCAGCCACACTACTGCTTATGCTTACCGCTCCACTGTTCAATAAACTCAACAATTCGTGGCCATTTTGTAGAATTATTTGACCATTTTCCGTGCGAGCACCACGAATCAATATTATATTACTGGCCTGATGTTGTTGCTGTTGTTGCTAAACACAAATTATTTGAAAAAAAAAAGAAAAATATCGAAAAAAAATCCATTTGAAAAATGTTCCATTGCTTGCTGCAGTTGTGTGTTCTTATCTAAAACTCCTTCTTATTACTTTATTTGACATTTCATTATCGATACATACCTGTTGTGTTTCAATATTTGCCGTCGAAACCGTTGCAATGGATAATTGAGTTGGATGATTTGCAGTTGACACTTGGCTACTGATATCACATGCATCGCCTGAACTGTCTCCAATCGATTTACTTGTATCGATTATTGACTCGATATTATTCTCTTCCGATGGTCCTGCAAACAAAAAAAAAGAATTAATTTCAATTTCGATTGTTGAACAAAATGATTGTTAAAATTGCCTTTATCGCACAAAATCAATTGTATATACAAAATGTACGGATTTTTAATTAATCATAAAAACTAATGAAACATCTACAATATCAATTTGAGCAGCGCTAAGTGCAGCTGTTGGACTAATTCAATTGCGAGTTGTCGAACTTGTTTCTACTTCCGCGCAGCACTTAATGCTCATACAAAAATGATGACATTTCTCCCCGTTCATGTGGTGTATTTTTGGTGCTAATGCTCAAATTGAATATTGTTCTATTTATGCCATTTTGATGATTGCTTCAGTGGTTGTGTGTGTGTTTGGGTGGATTTATGTCGTAAATGCTTTATTGCACCAATCTACATCATATGATGTGGATTATTTTAACCGATGGCATCAAACAACCGAAAAAAAATTCATTGCAAATCATGAAGAAGTTTTATGCTACCAAGCAATTTATGAAGACAATATATAAATGTGAAGGTCGAACACAAAAAGATCGACGAATGGCTTATGGTTTGAACTTGTGGTATTTCATTCATATATAAAAATGAGGGTGTGTTATGTTGCATTGTTGTCATCAAGTAATAAACTGCACATTCAGTTGAATAACACATTTATTTATGCTGTTGCTTTGTGTGTGTGGTCTGTTTTGCGTTTATTATTTGAAAAGCTAGCAAAACATGTTTATTCTCTGATATAAAATCGCCATTTTACGATTCAAATCATTTGGATAGAAATAAAATGGTTCGATATCAATCAAAAATGACCATATTTTCTTTTATACAATGAGAAATAAAATGTCTTACATCCTTAAGATGAACTTTTCCGCACTGTGATCCACGACATGCATTTATTACAAATCTTTTACTCAAATAAATCACGAGAAAACTGAATCTGACATTAGTTTTAGCTTACAAAAACTACTAAAGATGGGAATTTTTGTATCGGAGCCATGCCTTTATGATATCGTAATCATGTGAAAATTTGCAGAGGTTATTTTTTTCACAAAAAGTTAACATTCTGAAAGTTTGAAGAAATTTCAATGCATATTAAGGGTACTTCCCATACAAAATTTCGTTTTAGAGCGAAAAATCCAAAATTTTGTTAGGGAGGTACCCCTAATATTCGTTGAAATGTCTTCAAACTCTCGGAATGGTATTTATGTGTGATAAAAATAACCTGTGCAAATTTTCAGCTCATTACGATATCATACAGGCATGGCTTCCATACAAAAATCCAAATTTTTTGAATTTTTTGTATGAAAAGTGTAACGAAAATGAATTGTATCGCAAAACTAACGTCATATTCAATACACATTTTTGAGTGTTTAAGAATACATTAAATATCACTTTTGGAAGAAACATTGAATTTTTCCCATTGATGGACATGGGCATCACACCAGACATGACACTTTACCCTGTCAACCAAAGTAGCTCAAAATCTAATGGTTTCTATTCCCCGGCACCCCCAATCATCCTGTGAAGTCAGACTTTGAATTACTTTTCTTGTTTGAAAGTTATCGTGTTAACAAATTTTTGCGTACAGGGTACAGCGTACAGGGTACAGGGTACGCACATACATTCGGACATCGAAAAAACGCTAGATTCGTGTTCCCTGGCCCCAAAAACACCCAGAAAACACATTTTTTATGGGTGTTAATTTTTCGACCGATTCCAATACTTTACCTTACACACTAGGTGTGTGCGGAAAAGTAAAAGCTATACAAACATACACAGATTCAACAATTTAAAACAGATTCAATTTCCGTTCCAATTCAATGTGCGCATCAAATTGAACGATTCAACTTTTAACAGTCAAACTTTTTTCTCGAATTTTCAGCGCTGATTCAATGGAATATTTACATCACATTACGGAAAAATCGAATCAATATTTTGGCAAGAAAAATTCAATTTATTTATTTGTATAGATTTTTTTTTTTTTTTTTTTTTTTAAATATATATTCATCAAATTGGAAAATATATATCTGGATTTATTGTATGAATAAGCTACTGAAAAAAATTCGCTTTCAGCAGCGCATTGAATATTATAAGAGAATTCAAGGTCATAGTCATTAGAAGTACACCATAGAATCAAGCCCACGGTCGATTTTGACATACATTAAAACAACTACTTTTTGGCACTGTGGCTAAGATCGTAAGCAGTTTCCTTGTACGCTTTGTTCTTTTTCTATCTCTCGTTCCATGACAGAAAAACTGTGCTCCAATATAGCATGCACTTTTTTCGGCATCAACTATCGTCTCGAGATTCATTTTCAATTCATGTCGTTTGAGAGAGAAAGAGATACATTGGATGTGTTCGTCGTGTAAACATATATAGGTAAATAAATTCAGTTGGTAGTTGGACATTGATTGTTGTACACTTGTCGTAACATGTACAATTTGCATATTTCACACGAAACACGATACTAAATTGAGAGAATGAAAAGAAAGGGATAGAGATTTAGATAGAGAGAAAGCTTTTCGTCTGAGAAAAAGCGTTCTACCAATCTGGCGTGGCTCGATGGAAATTGAATCACTACACCTATCTCTTGGCTGTTCACGGAGTTACTCAAAGTCGGATAAAGATAAACAAATGCGAGTGTGCAATGATGACAATGAGACCGTTTCAGTAACTATAGCCAAACCATTTTCATACACATATACACATTGCAACGAATGCCAAACAATCGTTGTTGAGATGAATTTTATTGTTACGGGTCGTTGCTGGCTTTGCTATTTTTTGTGGTTGTTAATACCATTCATTTCATCCATATATTTAAATATAATTTTAATATTGTTTTGCTATGTTCTTTCTGTTTATGCGCCACCCATTCCAATTTTCATTTCCTTCTTATTCCATTTCGTTCGTCTTTATCAACGAGATAGATAGAGGAAAATATGTAGTTGTAAATTTATATTATTTTATATAAATGATGCATATATACGCGTGTGTTTGCGGGAAAAGATGACTTTATACTCAGTATTCACTTCATTCTCACTCTATTTCGTCGTTTTCGTATGTGCAGTCATCTTCAGTGGTGCTTAGACCGGTTCAAAAAAAAAGTATATTTTTATCAACATTTCTCCATCTGATTCCGAAAATATATGGAAAGAAACAAATTCAAGCTACTTTTTGGACCGCAACGGAAAAATGTGAAGTTGACATTTTGCCTGGATTTTGATAGGTTTTTTTTTTTTTAAAGAATTTGTATGGCAATATAAAGGCAGCTTGATTGCACGTTATAACTCGAGGTAAAGTACTACCGATTTTGGTTAAAAATCGCTCAGTTTGTAGCTCCTGAGATGTACTTTATAAAAAAGACGTAGTGAAGAGTAGCTCTGCCACAGCGAACATTTCTGTGTATTTTCATAAAATTTCAAGTTTTTATCAAATCCAACTTTATCCAAGTAAATTGGCAGTGAATTTCTTCTTAAAATCCTAGCAAATTGAAAGAATCTCTATACTGTTTCCTATGAAGCTTTTCATTTTATCCGGTGCCTTCTTCACGAATTTTTTAGTTTTTCAGCATTTTTCAGCGTGTTTGAACAACTTTATATTGAACAACATAGGTCAAAAAACTTCTCAAACATAATAGAAAAAATTTGGAATTCAATTTGGTCATTGCCATGCAATGCAAATGCACTTTTATCGGTGCCAGTCTATTGGTGGTGTATGTTTGTCAGCGAAGCAAGGCTCCCAAAAAATAATACAGTCTCTCTCCCTTCTTGCATCGAATGACTCCGCTGTTTCGAAGTAGGTCATATTTTTGCTGCACGGTATACACGCGTTAATACATTGCACACACTCGAATACACGAAGCAGCAAATCCATGCGATTTCTTTGCAGAAGCCCACAGCAATCCATTTTTAATGGGATATTTTCCAAAATAAAATGTACTTTTCAAATACACATAAATCGTTCGTCGAGTATTTAAATATTGGCCAAATGAACGATATGTTATACACTACTCACAGAAGACGTCAATTGTAATATTTGCGAACTCTGGTGGTGATTTACTAAATTACCACCATTACAATGTGTGGCATGGTGATTTTTGTATGTATTGTATTTGCTTTGCTGAGCAATATTACTATCGCTCAACGCAGTGTTGGTGGTAATACTGTACAGCGCTGTCACAGCAAAGCAAATACAATACATACAAAAATCACCATGCCGCACATTTTAATGGTGGTAATTTAGTAAATTACTACCAGAGTTCACAAATATTACAATTGACGCCTTCTGTGAGTACGTATATAGACATTTGTTTTGAATTTCGTTGAATCGTTTTAGCGTCTATCTAGAGAGAAACGGAAAGACAGACAAAGAGAGCGAAGCAAAATAAATATATTGTATATTTTACACGATTCAAGTGTATTTTTCCAATTGAGCTGCACTGATAGCACAGTTAGTTTCTCTCTCTCTCTCTCTCTCTCTCTCTCTCTCCATTTGAACAGATTTAAACATTTGATGACGGTATTAAACTCTGTTTTTTCCTCTTGCTCTCATTTCCATCGCCAAATTGCAAAGCTTTTTATTTTACTAAAAAAAAAATGTTCCCTCTCTCGTTGCCCATGCCTTTGAATCACATTTTTCAACAATTGAGAGTGCAAGCATTTGGAATGTGTTGCATTTGAGCCGATATTGTGTGAAATGTTGAGAAATTACATTTATGTTTCCTTTGTTTTTCGGAATTTGATTTAAAAGTTGAGAACAAGCGGGAGTGTATGTGTGTGTTTTTTTGCGTTACATTTTTGCTCTACTTTTCAAATGAATTACTTTCTATAAAATCACTTGTGAATTAATTACCGAGTGTATTAAAGCATATTCTTTGCACTGACAAAGTTGGATTGAAATTAACGCAATACAGAAACTTTACATTGGCCACATTTTCGGAGCTTAAACGAATTTTTTGCTCTTTCTTACTCAAAGCAATAATATTGTTTCAAATTATGAGCAAATA